CCAAGCATTTACAGAACCTTGGCTCTCATGGAGAGGGCCTTTTGCTAGCCGAAGATGGGGATTGATGTGGAGGAATATGTTCGAACGTGCCTCACTTGCCAACAAGACAAGGTGGAGCAGTGGAAGCCGATGGGACTTTTGGAGCCGTTGCCCGTACCAGAAAGGCCGTGGGAGAGCATTTCCTTGGACTTCATATTAAGCTTACCGACATTAGGGGGACTCGGATCGATACTCATGGTGGTCAATCGATTTTCAAAGTATGCAACTTTCATAGTTGCACCTCTAAACTGTTTAGCAGAGGAGGCGGCCAAGCTGATGATGAAAAATGTGGTGAAGTATTGGGGAGTCCCGCACAATATCATCAATGATCGAGACGCCCAGTTCCTAGGACGATTCTTGACCGAGCTATTCAAATTGTTGGGGTCTAAGTTATACTTCTCCACAAGCCTCCACCCCCAGACGGACGGCCAAACCGAACGGATAAACTCGCTCCTGGAGCAATATCTTCGGCACTACGTGAGTGCTAACCAACGAGATTGGGTGAAGCTGTTGGACATAGCATAATTCTCCTACGACTTGCAGCGGAGCTCTACGTCTAACAAGAGCCCCTTCGAGATCATTACAGGACAACAACCGTCAACTCCTCACACCTTGGCTATTGGATACATTGGGAGTAGTCTGTCAGCATATCACTTTGCAAAAGTATGACACTGAAATGCAGATATTGCGCGGGCTTACTTAGAGAAGGCGGCCAAAAAGATGAAGAAGTGGGTAGACTTGGGAAGGCGACCGCAAGAGTTCAAAGTCGACGATTTGGTGTTGGTAAAGCTCCAACCAATATCACTCCAATTCTTTAGGAACAAAGTACACAAAGGATTGGTGCGCAAGTATGAAGGGCCCTTCCTAATTATCAGTAGGGTGGGCAACGTCTCCTACAAGTTACAACTGCCGGCGTGGCTCAAAATTCACAATGTTTTTTACGCCAACAACTTGAAGGCCTACCACTTAGATCCGCAAGATGCTTCCTAAAGTGTTCCAACTCGGCTACCCCCCACCAAAACCTCCTACGAGAAGCGAGTTGAAACCATTTTAGTGGATCGCAAGATAAAGCTACCCAATGGAGTCGAGCAGACCGAGTTCTTTGTGAAGTGACGAAAGCTTCCCCGAACCGAAGCCAGTTGGGAGCCCGAAGACGCCCTTCGACATGAAGAAGCAGCCATCAACAACAACCAACAAGCGTCGACGAGGGCGTCAACAGTTTAAGTGGGAGAGAATGTCACGAATGTTCGGCGCACACCCGCAATAACTTCGTTCAACGAACCGTTCATTGCTTTTGTTTATATGTACAGATGTTTGGCAGCATGTTTTGGGTCATGTTTTGGCTGCAAATATGTACCTATATGACATTGACGAAAAAGCCAAAGGACAAAGGTCATCAACAAGATAGTTGCAAAGGGACTAAATTACACTTTAACCATGCATCAATGACACATCTTGCGATTATGAAGTAAGTCAACAAAAGGATACTCCCTACAACTGGCTGACAATCACTACAAATTCAGGTGGTGATTGAATATGCACAAGAAAGTAGGACAGCCTTTTTATGAGAAATCTTTGACATTATGTCTGTGTTGAATGCTCAATAGTCAATGCACATGATAAGCTATATGCTGTAGTAGACACAGGATATGAAAGATAAGGAATCATTAACACCTAGAAAGGAATTAGATAAAATTGGAGTAACTAAAATGATATATACCTGAACCAAAACCATAAATTATATTCTAGTCATTCCAAGTAGACACTCTGAAGTGTGAAACGGTTGTTAGCTAAAGCAATCAGACAGTCAAGCGAACTACAAGAGAGCAAATTAATCTATAAAAAGTCATTATATAACTCCCAGCTAGTCACCAAGAGAATTCAACTTAAGCAAGCTATTATGTTGATCTGCTCAAGTTGTTTTGTCCAGAAAGTCACTGTCCATGCAATCCTAAACTTTTCTGCTTACATTCCTCCCGCTTCAGTAGTTCGACGTGCTTTCGTGTCATCCAACTGAGGAGCTTCTCCCAACCGATCTTACAAACAAATGAAAACAGTGGTTTTGGAGTTCTGCTAGGGTTCTTTTATAGGATTAAAAGAAAAAAAAAAGATGGAAGAAGCACCACGATGTCAAGGGCCTAAACAGCACAAGCGAATCGATTGCTTTCTCCCCAACAATTTGATCCAGACCTCTAAAGTATTACCATAACACAATCGCGTACACTAATAAGCAACAGCAACAAACCATCAGAAGATCTCCGCTGCTCTTCCATGGGATCAAGAAAAGCAAACAAGCAATCCACGTTACCTAGGGGTGGGGATCTGGGGCGCTGTGATCGACGTGGTACGGCGTCGGGAGAGGAGTCGCCGTGGAGCTCGGGGGACTCCATGGGGAAAGATGTAGCGGAGCGGAGGCGGGAGGGGAGGAAGGCGGGATGAGTGGACGAAGGACGCGTCTGCCTCAGACCATTCGCCGAAATGCCTTGGCGATCTCGCGCCTCATTCCTTTTCTCTCTCGCGCCGCGGCGATCCTGTGGAGGCTCATTCGGCCGGTGATTAGGTGCCCTTAGGGATGTCAACCGATTCGGCCCGCAAAGGATCCGAGTCCGGATCCGGTGGTCATCCAAAGCAAATTAAATCCATGCTCATTGCGTGTGTTCTTAGAATTATATAAACTCTAACGCACGTCATATTTCATTTTTATCTGGTATATATATATATATATATATATATATATATATATATATATATATATATATATATATATATATATATATATCTATTTTTGATATATAACTATAAAAGATTTTACTAGAAACTGTAATTAAGATTTAAATTACGATAAAATATCTATATAGTCGATATTAAATGATTTAGGCTTCATTGTTTGTTGTTATTTGTTATTGTATATTATCCTAAAAACTGGGAAGAATAATTTATTATATTTGAAATGACATCCTAACGGTTAAAACGTTTGTTGTACAATTAATAAATCAGAATTTAGAATCCATTTTCTTAATATAATACATATATGGTGTTAAAATTTAAAAAATTCCATGGACTATAAACCAGGTTGAGGCTTGTTGACGTGTTATTTGTTTTTGACATCCTCTTTTGGGAGGATGACAGGCTACCTGTTTGATGCAAACTGATTCAAGGCAGCAAAAATAACCTAAGTGAGCCATGAAACTGATGGCAGAAGCAGAGTGACAGTAGTTCACACTTTATGCTAATCAAAGATTTTACTAGACGTTTGGCAGGAATGTAGCGAGAAACATACCTTGATGTTAATCAAATCAATCCAAAATGACAAATTAGTCTTGAAAGTTTCGTAGAAACTGCAGCAATAAACATACTTTGGTACCAGAGTTGAGAGACAAAGCAAATTCTCAAACTAGTTAGCCATTAAAAACGCCAGGAAAAGGCACCCTGTTTATATTGGATTGCGCGATCTCTGCTTGGCCTTCTCAATAAGGGGTTTCAGTTGTTTCTTCTCTGCAAGAATCTTTAGAAAATTAAAAAGGAATGGTATGTAGTTATGCTTCCTCCGAATGTTCTCAGTTCTCCACTTCTTGAACTTCTCTTCTTCCATCAGTATCTTCTCGCTCACACTTTCTATGCTGGCAGTCACTTCGGTGAGTGACTTATTCCAAGCTTCGACTTCAGGACTGTCTTTATCAGCAGTGTTTGCATGTTCATTCAACTGCTGCACAAGATGCTCCCTCTGCTTTTGCAGTTCCTTCAGCTCAGCAGTGTATATCTCCTTCCGATTCTTTATGATGGCCATGAGGTTGAATCGGATTTCGCTCTGAGAATACCTGTCGATGCGTTCCTGGATTACTGGTTGCACCATCTGCAACCAATCCAGGTCACCTGGCCCACCGGGGCACTGGCCGAGGCTGATTGGCCCCTCCTTCAGTCCATCCAGCTCGTACAAAACTCCGTCAACAGGTAAATAGCTTATGAAATGGTAGACATCATCATCTTTGCCAGCAACTTTCTGCTCTTCAGGTACAAATGGTTCAGGCCTAGCGAAGCTATTGTGAGCTGTTCGAATGGCTTCACTGTTGTTGATTGCCAGTCCTTTAAGTTCCGGAGGGAAGTTTTTCGTGAACTCTTTAAGCATTGATAGTTCTGGACCAATGTCTATATCTGGACAATTCACCAATATCGAAAGAATAGCTTGGGTTGCACAAGCATTGTTAATAACCTGCAGATAACCAATCAGCTCAGTGATATAAAGAACTTTCAAACACAAAAATGCACAGAAACATTCCAATATTGTATTTTTTTACTCCTTGTCTAACCTGACTGGCAAAGAAAAGGTTTGGATTTGGATCTTTAATTACAGGACGGTCATCCTTTTCCCCTCGTCGCCATTTGAATAGAAATATCAACCCATATACTGGCCTGTGAAAAGCAAAGCCAAAAATTAGATACATGGTGGAGTAATATACGAAAAACCACGATGGAGTGATTGGTTTAGATTCTAACCGCAGGTTGTCCAGAAAATCCAGATCAAGCGAATATAATTCTTCCACCTATTGAGAATGATATTATTAACCACATATTTTGTTCAACACACCAGAATTCATGCAAGTTGAAACAATAGAAAAGATGATAAACTCCTCGAAGTAGATGCTCTATAAAAAAACATTAAAAGAGATAAACCTTAATAATCATCAGAAAAGTACAAAAGATAATCAAAATATTCAACTCTTGACAAAAGACAACCAAACCATCTATAATTTCATACTACATTAAATTTGTGACAGGAAAAACTTTAAATACTGGTTTGATGATAGTTTCAGTAATCTAATAATCATAACAATACCAGTATATCAAGTGGTATATTGACCAGTACCATGTGATATCATTGCATAAAATAATAAAAAAATAAAATGAATGACATTGTACACATATCGAGCCATATGTTTCAATACCTATACTTGGTCAGATTGCTAAATACTAATCAATACATACCGGTCTGATAGGTACTAAAATCCTTGGTCACAATACTAATCTTCCAAGCCAATCAAAGAGATGATATTAAGCAAAACAAGGAATAAGGTTCTGAAAACTTGTTTAAGTGCTTATATAATTACTACTCCCTAAAGGCAATAAAGAAAGCCCAAAACATGGGGGTTACTTGACTGCCTCTAACAAGGCCATAAATGAGATGAAGGAAAAAGAATGGATTCAATTGCCTCAAGCATGCCCATATATGAGATAAAGGAAATGTTTTTCCAAATTCCGCTGATTCATGTCGCTCAAAAATGCTAAACAAAAGGAGGTTTGAGACAGGCAACATCAACTGTGACAACCAGAGCATGGTCATGTCAGACTTGCCACCTCCAGTGCTCCATATTTATGCTAATGCATGACAAGAAGAACACAAGATGAGGAAAGCCTTGACCAATTATTTGTAGTCATCTGCACTGGCAATAAATTAACACTACAATAAATGTCATCATGTGCTCTACCAATTGTCAATTGTCCAAAAAAAAAAAAAGAAAAAAGAAGCAGATAAACTTACTTGAACTCCCTTGACTTGCATCTGTTGTATAAGTTCAGTAAAAACACCTGACAGAGCAAGGTAAAAAGATTAAACATGGAATAAAATAATTGTCGCACAGAAATGGAGAAAGTATATTATAACAACATATTAAATATGCAAAACATAGCAGGGGAACAAAATATAGTGTCAATTTCAAATTTGAAAAGTGACTTCCCTGAGGTGCTTAGTGTAAAAAAAGTAAGTTGGTAAACATCTATGATGTTCCTTGATGTGCCTATATCGAGATGCTGTCAGATCACATACATCTGTGATATAGAAACTTCTTGGATCCACTATAGGGCATCAGATACAGTAACAAGTCCATGAATCCAGACTTTTGTGTATATACAGGTAACTCCTGGGAAAAAGACCAGAAATTACACTAATCCAAGTTATAGACCACCTAACAGAAAAAATTGACTTTAGCACTGAAAGAAGCTCAGCTCACACTTAGACAATACTAATTATGCAGCATTGTTACATTTTATACATTGACAAGGAGTATTACCCAACACTCAAAGCAACACAGAACCATCATAGATGCACCCTAAGATTGGCAACTCAACAAAAGCAACCAGATGCATAATGAAATTTCAATTAAAAAAAAAAAGAAAGCTGTTATAACAAAAAAGATACTAGCCTGTCTATGAGAACATGTCAATGTATGTCAACACCATCATAATGGATGAAATAACCAAGGATTGCAATTTTATACTGGACTCTGTACTGGTCTTAAAGTGGATTGGTATGTACAGCATACTGGGTGTTGGTACACCAATATGAATCAAAGAAGAAGAAGAAAACGAAGAAGAGGAGACAATGGAGAAAGAGGAGGAAGAAAGAGAAGGAACAAGAAGGAAGAAAAGGAGACAGTGGAGGGAGGAAGCAGGAAGAAGAGGAGGTGGTGCAGGTGGTGGAGGAGGAGCAGCAAGACGATGGAGGAGGAAGAGGAAGGAAGAAGAAAGGGGCGGTGGAGGAAAAGGAAGAAGAGGAGGTGGTAGAGAACGAGGAAAAAGGAGAAAGGACGAAGAAGTGATGATGGAGGTGGATGAAGTGGAGGAAGAAGAGTTGGTAGTGGAGGAAGAGGAAGAAGTGTACCAGAATTGAGGCCGACAACACAAAGAAGAAGGTGACAGTGGAAGAAGAGGAGGAAGCATATCCACTACGAGGTCGGCAGCACATGGTGGATGGCAGGGAGATAGGTGCATTAGAGGGATAAGAGAAATCGTGAATGCTAATCATGAATTCTTTAGAGTAAACAAAGGTTTTATTATTATTTTTTTAATGATGACAAGGATCGCTCGAAACGGGAGTGGTCCCCGTACCTGTTCACACCCAAACTGGATTGGTATAGACCTATCCAAGTGAAATTGCAAGCCTGATAACTAACTCAGACATAACAAAAGCATCTTCGAATATTGTCAACCATGGAAAGATGTTTGCATGATTGATGTGAACCAAGCTACATTAAAGTGTTTCACTCAAATTCCAGAAATAGAATCTCTATGCCTGGCCACTACTAGTTGAAAATTCTTCAAAAATGTCCGAAAGTAAAGAAATCCTACTGAACATCAAGTAAAGATGTCCACCAACCACAATCAGGAAATGCACAATGGCACTGGTCAATGAATGTTGGTTTCTAGAAATGGAACCAACTAGATTCTAGTTTTCAAATTTTGGAGCCAGCATCGTGTAACTATGTCTCCATATGTTAAATATTATATATGAAAGTCAACCTTCATTTTTAGGTTAGCTATTTCTGAATGTCGACAGGGTAGATGGAAAATAGTACAAGTAGAAGCCTGTTGGCAGCTATTTTGAATGAAAAAAGATCAGGTCTCATAAAAAAATCACAAGATTTGTCTCATCTCCTGGATCAAAATAATATCCCATACAAGGAAAAAATAGTTCAATTCAAAAAGTTATATGATGAAATGTCACATATAAGTATATGATCTAGTACACAATGCTTCAACAAGTTTAGAAATCCAGAAAAAAGAAATCTGACTGATCTTTATACAAAAGAAAAAAGAATCCATTAATGACAAAGACA